GTTTTCCTTGCATGTGAGTTCTCTGCTGTAGCAGCAGGTCAGAATTCCAAGTGAAACTTTTCACACAATCAGAACATTTCAAAAGATTCTCCCCAGTGTGAGTCCCCTCATGTTTCACCAGATTGGTTTGCATGCTAAATGTTTTGCCACATTGGCAGCACTGGTGCAGCTGCTCCTCCTGCATCGGCCGTTCCATGGGAATCGTGTTCTTAGTATAGCTTTTACTGATCACTAAGCATTTATTAAGGAAAGGATCCTCCTGTGCATAATTGAACTGTGATCTGCAATCTGTATTTTTCCAAAAATAGGCAGTCTGTGGGTTTTTAGCAAAACTGATATTTTTGGATTCATGAGGGGGCAAAAAATACTTCTGATCCCTTATCTGGTGGTGCTTTGATTCAAGACACTCTTTCCTTCCTCAATTGCTTTCATTAATGCCTTTGGTTGTCCATGGGATCTTTTCTATTTTCCACTTTTTCTGAATTTGGTAATTATATATTTTTACCTTTTCATGCAATATTTTCTTCAGTTCCACATTATCCTTTTTTTCCCACCTGAAAACTCAGTTTCTGTTATTCTCTCCTTTGTCTCCCTATATCTGTTCAAGAAAGAGAAAGGTTTTAACACTTTCTGGAAGAAGCAGAAAAGATTTTGATTGATGGTTTGTTTTAATGCTTCTTCTCATTCTTTGTTTTCCAGATTGCTCTTCTTGGCATCCTCTTTGTCTATAAGGTTCATATTAATGGATTAGTTTATTGTTTATTAAATGGCTGCAGAACCTGCGGAAAAAGCAAAAAAAATATTGCATATATTACTATGAAAAAGCAAAGATATCAAAAAGCTTGTTTAACCTTTAACATTAATTAAGATTTATTAGGTTCATGGAAATGTAGCTAAACACAAGTTCAAATATCCGCACGATATTTCAAATTATGAAATTCTCTTGTTTGCTTGGGTAGATTTATACAATTTGTACAATGGCAGAATTGGAAGGGACCTTGGAGCTCTTCTAGTTCAACCCCCTGCCTAGACAGAAAAGCCTATACCATTTCAGACAAATGGCTATCCAACATCTTCTTAAAGACTTCCAGTGTTGGGGAATTCACAACTTCTGGAGGGAAGCTGTCCCACTGATGAATTGTTCTAACTGTCAGGAAATTTCTTCTCAGTTC